ATCTGGGCAGACCTTCTTCGCTTCGTGGATCAGCTGCAGCTTGTGCAAGCCCTGGGAGAGTCAGACTGGACCGATGACACGGGCACGGCGGTAGTCAAGGGATCGTACGCGTCGGCGGGCCTCATAGTTGCATGTGACGACTATCTGTTTTTGCTGCACGGCCAGTGGCAAGCGTCGTAATGCTGGGTTTTCATGTTCAAATACGCTGGCGTAGAAGCAGTCCTGTGGGGAGGGGCACGGTATACGTTACTCTTCTGCGCAGACTCGGCCGCACGCGGTAAGAAGTACGTACGTAGTCCTGTGGATACGAGGGAAGGTTAGTAGGTGAGGCCGAATAGGGCGACCAAGGCGTGAAGGCTGTGCGTGGTGCTTACGAACGAAGTGGACGATGACGGAGCCGGTCTGGCGTTTCAGTTTCTTCATGGAGCAACGAGAAGCGCCGGTGTTGTGCAGCAGTTTCAGCGGCGTGCGTGTCGTGTGGAGGTGCAGGTGGTGGTGCAGCGGGTGATGAAGCGCGCGTGAAGGCGCGACGTGTGTGGCCAGGTGCGAAACGCCGCGGGTGGTGCCAAGCGCCGGGCGCGGGTAGCCCAATTATGTTTGCCACGCTGCATCTATCTTTGGACAAGCCTAGTGGCTGCTGGGTATTTTGGGAGCAGCCCCAGCCAGGCGCTTCGTGTTAAGACCGTCCTGGTGGATCCGCAGCCGACATGGCAGTGTTTAATAGCGATGTGCCCCTCTAGCACTCGCCTGTCCCCAAGTATTCGCAATATCATCTGCACACTTCCGGCACCAGCCTCATACCCGTGGACACCCCCCACATGATGCTGTCCACCCTCCAGCCCTCCCACCCAGCATCATCTGCCATGTCCGGTATGACCTCAATGACTTCCTCCATGGCCGCCTCGCTGCCTATAATACCCCCGCGCCAGGCCCCGCCCCGGCCCAAACTCTCCATCAACACTGAGCAGCCGCGCATCCTGGGCAAAGGTGCCAGTCTCCGTCTTGAAACCCTCAGTGCCGTCTCGCCCACCGTCCGCAATACCTTCTCCAACGCCTATGAGCGCCCGGCGACTGCCCCAACACTACAACGCCCCTCAAGACCCCAGCTCTCCATCGAGAGCGACGTGCCCGCCACCAGCGGCTCTACCAGCGCATCGACGCCAAGTTCAGCGTCTACCCTCTCCTCCACCCTCACATCGGCCTCCAACGACTCGGCCACCCTCTCAATACCCTACAAGCAACCCCACAACCTCGCCTCCATCCTCTCCAACAGCCCCGCGCGCTCGATAATACCACGCAAGATGGGCTCCAGCCGGCCCATGTTCCCCGCCGAGAAGCGCGTCTCCTTCCGCACACCACTGGAAGAGGAGATCACCACCACCAGATACACCCTCGCACATTCCGACATTGAGTCTTCCGTCTCAACACTCTCCTCTCTCGCATCCACCGCCTCCACCACCGACTCCGACGCCTCGACATCACAGCCGTCATTAAGTCTCAAGGCTCTGAAGAACCCCTCCGAAACCAGCATATCGCCCCTCCAGCTCTCCCTCATCAGCACATCGTCCTCCGCAGAGAGCTCACCAAGACCAAAGTCGCCCCGCACAGGCGAGAAGCGCGACTCGTCATCCTCAGACGACGACAGCGACTCAGCTCCCGAAACTCCCGTCGCCGGACGACGGAAGCGGACGCGAGACTGGCGCTGGACACTCGGACCCTTGCCTTCAGACAACAAATCGTCAGTATCGTCGGCGAGCGATGCGACGATCAGCGAGGACAGCAGTTGATGGGTTGACGGCGCGCATGATTACGAACTGTACAGAGTGGGACGAAGACAACGGATGCGGCGTTACATTCCCATGGCATTTCTCGGTGTTTTATTTGTCACTTTCCATGATACCACATTTGCATATCCCGTTTGTCCTGGACGAGACAATCGCTAGCATCGCATTACATTGCATTTACTATTACTTTAACTACCATCATCAAATCTACATACTACTACTCTGCTCTACCAATAAGAGTGGACCGACACTACATTACCTACATTTCTAACTAACTTGCATATCACTATATTAAACAACTGCACATCACACTCTTTTCGACTTGACTTGACTTGACATGACCCTCCCAACCAAGTGCAAGTCTTACCCAAATCCCCCTCGCGATCATCACTCCTCGGCCATGTGACAGGATCGGCTGCCGATCGAACATCGAACGGCGGTGCGTGCGGGACAGCCCACAGCCACCGACCGCACATGACAAGGGCCCCAACATCGCAAGTCTACGCGACACACAACCAGTTGCCAGGGTCTCGGAAAGCAAAGCAATCACAACGAGCAAAACGTCCATGATCCCGAAATAAACGTACATTACATCAACAGCCAAAACGCCCTTTCCCACCACATGCACTTCGTTTTTGCCTCCGCCTCAAGGAGTATCTGCAACGGTCCTGACTTGCATACACACATCCGTCTGTGTGCATGTGCAGCTAACCATGACATCACCGCCTCATCTACCGGGACCTACCCAGCCACCAAGCTTACCTCAAGGATAAATTGCGTACCCGCTTTGAGAGCAGGCTACGGCAATTTGTAGATTGCGCCTCCATCTTGAGTCACTTCCGTATTAGGACGTCTGATCCGGATTCTCCTCTCGATACCTGCTCGAAATCGGGCTGGGATAATGTGGCTGGCGGAAGGAAGAGAACCGCCGAGATGTTAGACGGAAGATTCAGGATACGAAGTTGTGCCGGCTTGGCTTGGTAGTAACTGGGTGGGTATGTATGGAATGGTAAGGTGGAGGGGCAGGCTGCACGTGATACTCTGGGGACGGCCCCCGTTGTAACAGAAGCAAGTGCAAGGGTATTTTCAAACATCGTCGTGTGTTCTTTTCGTTTCAGTTTCATGTTCTGAACACCCCCACCCCACTCTATCCAGCATCTGTGTGGTGTGTTTGCGACACCCCACCCGTGGGATATCTCTCAAAATAAGCCACAGTGGGACTTATTTTCGCAAGAGTCAGAGTCGCGAATTGTGACAGCTGTCAGACGCGTCGGAGGATATTCGCAGCCTGCAGCGAGGGTTTCGGGCATATATCCAGACGGTTCGTGTAACACGACAGATTCTTCATATGTCTAGAGCAGCAGTAAATCCGACGCGGCTTCAATCTCCACAATCGATACTTGGGTAGAAACATACGGGTTATTGTTCGTATCGCGTTCGTGTCTCTACAACTCTAGCGCAATCCAGCCTCAAGTGCTCCCATGTTCCTAGTCTTTTCGGTCCTCGTCTCAGAGCCTACAAGACATGCAAGCCGCGGCGAAGAACTCGGGTTTTCTTTGTTTTTCCATCTCGTACCTGCAGTACACTACCTTGCGCATTTCTACTGAGCTCACTACCCGTGTCCGGGCGATGGTGGCGCTCAAGCCTCTAGTTGCCCATTCGTCAACTAGGGAACGCGTTGCGCGAACGAACGCACAGCTGCAGCGAAAGAAAACCAGCATCAACCCGCCCGTCTCGCATACACGTCGTCATCGTACCCTCACAAGCGCAAACACGGCAAATTGCACATCTCAACCAGTCCCGCTCCGATCGCATCGATGCAGTCAGCAACGTACATTTTTCATCGCGGGAGTGCTAACGAAACGCGGCTTGCAAGGATGCGTTTTAGTGTGGTGTTCTGGAACGTGAACCGCGTGGTCTGGTCGATGCAGATACGGGACCGGGATGGATTAGGACGGGCAATTGCTTTTGAGGCTAAGTATAGCGTAGGAACCGCTAATGAACCGTTTTTTCTCCTGACTTTTATCTCATGGGTACGATGCGATGCGATACGGTGGAAGAGGACTGTTTGGAGGATGGGGGTAGTGTTGTGGAAATTGCGGTAGAGACCTCGGGAGTGTCGTGCTTTCTTCTTTTGTGCGAGTGGTGTCGCGATGCATGTCTTGCAAGCTGGTGTACATTCATTCCTTAGCCTTCGAGCCCTCACGTGTTAGGGTTTCTGATGATTACAACTACAAAGAAAACACTTCGCAAAACACCGTCCACTCCGCCCAATCATACCCACACAGTGACCAACCCATCTACTACTCCCTTGCTCCCTCCGGAGTCCAGAATCCTATCCTATCGATTCCGATAGTCCAAGTAGTCCCAGTAGTCCCACCATCAAGCGAGATAACGATCTTCAGGTACAAACTCTACAGAAATCTAGAACGTGCTGGTCCGTGTGGTATTATAATAGCGTGTGCGTACTAAGAGCGTAGGGAGCGGAGTCGGAGTGGACAGCGGAGCGGAAAGCACGGAAGTGCGGGACTACGGAGATGAGGTTCGCATACGTGGCATGGTAGTATGGTTGGTATGATGGTGCGGTGGTATAGTGCTAGGGTTGGGGTTGTTGGGTTGTTGGGTTGTTGGGTAGCGAGGATTTGGGATTTGGGAGGATGGTCGTAGAAGGCGGTACGTGAGTAAGGGGGAAGGAGAAGAGTGTAGGGGTGAAAATAAGGGGAAGTATGCGTATGTGTATGGGTTTGTGGCGGTTTTGTAGATTGGGAGGAGAGAACTGGTGAAGGTACATTGTTCGTTGAACGAGACAATCTTGGAATCTGATGGAATGGGAATGCTAATGCCATTCATATCCACGTTCTGAGAGAAAAGTCTGATACAATAGTATCCCTTGAATTGAATTGCTGATACCACATCCCCGAGTCCAAATGAATCCCAAAGTAGAGTGATGACCTAGTCTATCATCCTCCACGACTGCCAACACCAACTCCAGACTCCTACCCCATATACCACGGGTATCCTCAACGCCATAACAAGTCCAACGCCTACAACGCCATTGAATCCACGTAAGGCATGACACTCGCTATAGTGATCCCACTGTTCTCCAACCGTTAACGCCGTACTCCCACTCATTCCCACCCTTTAACACCATACACCCCCATATCCAACTCCATCACAACCCCAACTCCATCACCGTCACCTTCTTCCCATCCCACACTAAACACCCTCCCCACCCGGCGTAAAATCCAGTTTCCCACTCGCCATAGCCCAAACCAGTCCGCCCATAATCCCACTCAGTATACACACAATAAAGCACACAAACCAGACCATACTCTTCCTCTTCCTCCAACCCCTCCTCGCCCTAGCAAAACACCCCTTCCCTTTCTCCCTCTTCTCCCTCTTCTCCTTACGCTGAGCTTCTAGTTTCTTGGCTGCTGCCTCGGCGGTAAGGCGGGCAGCGCGGTCACGCCGTAGTTCGGCTTTTTCGTCGTCGGAGATGAGGGAGCGGGGGCGGCCGAGGGGGTGTTTGTGGGAGAAGCGTTTGGTGTAGAGGCCGGATGAGTGGTTGTTGGTAGAGGGATAGGGGGTGGTGGGAGTGGGGGGATAGCCGTCGGAGGAGAGAGACTCGGGTACGTTTTTTGCGTTTGAGATGGCGTGGTCGCGCCAGACGGCGTGGCGGCTATCCAGCGTACCATCTTTAGACCATTCGATAACATCGTCGATTGCAGCCGTCAGATCATCGCCTTCGAGACTATACGTCAGCGCCTCCCAGAGCTGGAGGTCAATCTTGCGGATGTCGACGCCGGCAGTGGAAAGCGTGTTCGCAATTCCCTTCCACGAGTTCTTGGCAGAAGGATCAACACCAGACAAGCTCGCTGGGTTGCGGACGTAGAGCCAGGACTGCGCCAAGTCGACGAAGCTGTCGAGGGAGATGGCGGTTTGCTTTACGCCGAGGCCGACGGTGTGGTTGTAGAGGACGAGGTTGTTGTCTTTGCTGATGGGGAGGCCTTGGGGGTACCAGTTGTTTTGTGCCTGCCGGGCGAAGGGGAGGGTGCGGAGAGAGGTGAGGATGGCCATGAGGGCGCGGTCGCGGTCGGTGTATGTGTGGTGGTGTGGTCCAGCTGAGATGGAGTGGGAGTCGTAAAGGGTGGACTCGGGCGCGTGCTTGAAGTCGTCTTCGATGATGGCTTGGATGCGGTCGACCATGTTGCGGGTGCTGAGTACTGTGTTTGCGTTAGCAAGCAATTCGAGAAGTGTGGCTGAGGGATCCGGTCCGCATCTCTTCTCGGTTCAACTATTACTAAAGCAGAGCTACTCACAGTAAGGCAGAGCATCACAGACCCGACACAGCTTCAACCCCATAAACTCAACCACAACATTCTTAACTGGCTTCTCATTCACCGCAGGCACAACTAGCACCCCATCCCCAACTCCTCCATAGATAGTATGCTTCGTCCTCGGAGAAGACGCTCCAGAACTGCTTTGTCTGGGCGAGCGTACAGTATGCACACTCGACGAGGAAGAATTCCACCCTTCATTGCTGTCAGGCCCAAGACGATAGCCGTTGGGTGTTGTGTGTGCTTGCTGAGGGACGCTGGGTCTGGAAAAAGACTTTGACGTGGGAGGCGAGGGAGGTGCCGATGACAATGTAGAAGATGACGATGCGAACGATCGGTCCTGGCTGGTGTAGCTATCCGCATTGGGGGTACTGTAGTCATGGCACGGTTGAAGTGCCGGATGCTCTTCATGATTGACAGTGGCGGACAGTGAGCGTCTCCACGCGGCTTTTGAGCTCGACTTATCAGCGGGGACGATAGTGTCCTGATGCAGTGTCAATGGATGTTTCGGTGTGATGAGTGAGTTTGCGTACCTTGCTACCATGCCGCGATGGGACGCCGTCGTTGCATCGCGATGTTGTGGCCATTGCGATGCACGGCGGTCAATGAAGCGATGAATGAAAAGAAAAGAGACACTCAGTCCATCGAAATGAACTGCAAATGAGATTGAAGAGAGGTCAAGCAGCTGAGAGATCGAAAGGCAAGAGGTTCGGGAAGGGAAGGGATTGTATCAAGTCGGCTTCTGGCCAATGCGTACTGGCATTACACGTCGACGAGCACCAGACCGATTCGCTATCAGACCCCTCACGATACACACAATCATGTTCTCATCAGCACTCGACATCACTCATGTGTATGGTGCGTGTTGTGGATCGCGACCCTGGATCGCTCAACAACCACTGGATGTGTGACCCCTCACCTTGATCCACGCCAATACAGCTGAGCTACCAGACTTGATGAAGTGAATTGTTTCGCAACGTTGTTTGTTGATTCGTAGTTGGTATTTGAACGCGCGGGCGGCCACGACGACGGTCGCTTCGAGAACTGCAATTGTGCCATATCCAGCCTCAATTATCGTCATTCAGTGCTTTGGCATCTTCTACCGCCGCTCTAGCAATCTTCTTCAGCAGAGATTTGAAGTCCGCCTCCCGGAACTTTTCCCAACGATCCAAACCCTCGCTCGCATCGATTGACAACGTCTCGTACCCCTGTTTGATGACGGCGCTGACTTCTTGCGGGCTAAGATGCTTGGACCGCGCTTTTCCATTGCTCTCCAGCAGGGATTGGTAATGTGAAGACACATTGATGAGCGTCTGCATGGAGTCTGATTGGCCTGATAACCCAAATGTGTCCCGGAACTTGATCAGTGTGTCGCCGCTTTCCACGAGCTTGTAGAATAAGTCGTCATACGATGCAGGGTCGGGCAGGAAGTTCTCTCCGCTAGACAGTGCAAAGGCCAGCAGATTGACAAGTATGTTGATCATTCCGTTTGATTTGTAGTTGGACTTGATGTCGCTTTCGTAGGTGGTGAGGAAGCGGACGAAGGAGAGCAGGGTCCGCCACAACTCCGACCAATGGTATGTGATGCGCGTCTTGGTTCGACTGAGGTGCGAAAGGAGACGTAATAGAACGCCGAGACAGAGGCTGGGAGCGGATTAGCCAAGTATGTGCCATATTGGGACTCAGACTCACATGTAGAAGTCAACGTCTAATCGCCTCCGCAGGTTATGGCTGATGGCGTCAGACATCATGTCTAGTATGACAGCTGCAGGGACACGATCGCCCCTCACTGCCGGCAGGTAGGGCTGTCTCTGACGGCACAAGCGCACCGAAAGCTTGGACTCGTCACTGCATAGGCGTTTGGCGAGCTCTCGGTCTTCGACAAGTATTTGCAGCACGAAGAGGCTGAGGTATGTGTACAGTGCGGCCCTGGTAGACCGATGCGCGTGTTGAAACATGTAGGACGTCAAGGAAAGGTATGCGCTCAGCGGCGAGGGCTCGTTCTTGTCCGCTGGGGCTGACTTGACTAGGTTGAAGCAGAAGACTTTGTTGGCGTTGGCGAAGTCGTACGTGGAGAGAAGTACGCCAATCTCAGGCCCTGGTCTAGCCATACGTTAGCATGAGCTGTGACTGCGACCATGAGTGCTTACAATGCAGCGAAGAGCGACTTTGCTTCATCCGGAGCCGGCACAGGTGTGGTTGGCCGGGAACTGGGAGCAAGAGCACCCAGGCCAATATAACTCAACGTCGAGCCCAGCGACCAGCCCTCTGGCATGTCGTCCTGTACAGCTACATAGGCGTCCCGCAGCTTTGTACATGTATTCCCAAAACAAGCGACCATATCCTGTATGATAGCATCGTTGACAAAGTCGTCTAGCCGCAGTCTATACGGGTTCTGAAACTCGAATTTGTTGTAGTTCGTGAGGAGGCCGAGGAGATAAAGCGCGGGGAGAACTTGGGTGCTGTCGTCGCAATCTTGGATGTACTACTGGCTGTGAGTATGCATCCCCCCTGTCTTGCTTTCTGTCGTACCTTCATGAGCGAGGGAAAAAGGTCGCGATGAGTAAAATACGACGGAAGCGCAGTCTGAAAGCCAGCCGCAGTAATCGAGAGCGCCACTCTCACAGCCCTCAAACGCAAAGGAACTGCTTTTGGTCAGCCTGTCCCTCTCTAGCATTCACCCTGTACATACTATCCCTCCCCCCCCGTATCGCCGTATCCAGCGTCGCAACAAAGTCCGTCATAACAGCATCCGCATCATTCAGCCCCGTAAGAACAGCTATGATATCAGAGCTAGGATTCGTGTACTTCTTCGTGAGTGCGGCATCGAGGAAGACTGTCAAGGTCTAAGCGGTAAGCGCATGGAGAAGAGAAGGTGTGTGTGCGTGGGTGGGTGGCATGGGTACCTCGAGGGCGATTTCGTCGGCGGGCGCGCTGGCTTGCTTGACGCGGAGGATGGCTTGCCCGAAGAGTTGCTGGCTATGCGCTTGCTGGTGCAGCATCTCGTCCGGCGTTACCGAACTGAGTATGCGCTGAAGGCCGGTGGGGTCGGGGCGGTGGAGGAAGAATTCTTGCCAGAAGCCGGCGGATAGCTCGACTTCTTCGTCGTCTTCCTGGGTATGGTTAGCACTTGGTTGGCGCAAAATGGGTGGAGATGGAGAGGACGCACTTTGAAGAGGGTTTCGTAGAGGGAGATTATCTTGGGTTGGAAGATTTCCGGTCGCGTGTCCTGCGTCAGCGGTGACGGCTCCATGGTTGTGCGTGGGAGGGACTTTGGGGAATTTATCGTGGGTGATGCAGGGCTTCAGATGGTGGCAGTCGCAGGCGCGTCGCGCAGCATGGGGAACTAGCGGGCCGGTGGGCGATCAGACGCCGACAGCCCCACCATTCACACGTGTGAAGGTAGGCATGTCGTGTGAGGGAGTTACAAGACAATATCCCCTCGAATTATTCCTATCGTGAACCGTCAATATCAATACATCCTAGAGGAAGGCGCGACCAGACTCCCGGTACCCCGCGTCCCTCCAACCCCCCAACCACAATGCCACAACCCCTCCTAGTCGGCATCTCAGGCCCCTCCTCCTCGGGCAAAACAACCCTCTCCCGTCTCCTCCGCGACATATTCCCCCCCTCCAAACTCTCCATCCTGCACCTCGACGACTTCTACCTCACCGACGCCGAGATCCCCGTCAAGAACTCTGTCCAAGACTGGGATTGCATAGAGTCGCTCAACCTACCTGCGCTCAAACAAGCACTGCAGCACATCAAAGAACATGGTAACAGTCCAGAATGGCTGGTCAGCCAGGAAGACCAGAACAGTGTGGGCGACCATGGTGTACCTGAGGATGAGATCAGGAGGTTAAGAGATGAGGTTGAGGTGTGGTTGAGGAGTAAGACCGAGTGGCAAGAGCGACGGATATGTGTTGTTGATGGGTTTTTGCTGTTTTCGCAGGATATGAAGGATATCCGTGAGATCTTTGATGTTAGACTCTTTTTAAGGACGAGCTATGAGACTGCGAAGCGGAGGAGGGAGGCGAGGAGTGGTTATGTGACGCTTGAGGGCTTCTGGCAAGATCCGCCGGGTTATGTAGATGATATTGTGTGGCCGAACTATGTGAAAGACCATAAGTTCCTGTTCAAGAATGGGGATGTGGATGGAGAGTTGGATAAGAAGGTTTGCGAGAGCGTTGGCATATATGGCATGCCGAGAGAAGCGGAGGGCGATATGACGAGGTGTTTGCATTGGGCTGCTGGGTTACTGGAGGACGTCATCAAGAAGACATGAGTACTTTTCGAGTCTGTATTATTATACTTGTATCCATGTCACTTTGGAGCTTGACAACTCAAAAACTACATACCCCGACCCCGTACCTGATTGTTACTACTCAAGAACGCCTATGCGCCATTAGACAATGCCCTAACCCACCAGCCATGCAGAAGTGATGATACACAAATGTCAAAGCGAAACGGCCGACTGATCAAATTTTGAAGTCACCGCCTTCCTAAGTGCTGGACTTGACCTTGTCGATGTAGGCCTGTCCGGGGCTCTCATAGGTAGGCACAAAGAAGGTGTTGATCTGAGCTTCCTTGGAGAGCCAGGTCGTCATTTGACTGAGCTCCTCGCGCAAGCGCGTGACGGCCTGGTGATCCATGTTGGTTTGCGCGATGAGTTCGGGCATTGTGACTGTGAAAGCCTTGTTAGCAATTTTCACATCTAATAACTCATATATGCATACCCAGAAGACGCAGAAGATGCTCGCCGCCATAGATGTCAGCCAGCGGCTTTGCTGCAAGATCATCCGTCGGCGAATTGACGCGCGTCCAGATGTCGTAGAACTGCTCGCGCTCAAACCGGTACAGAAGAAGGCGCCCGACGCTCTTATTGAAGTACTCCTTCAGTCCAGCTATGACTTCCTCGAGGATGTCCTGCTCGATGCTGGTGCGGTTGCTGTTGTCTTTGACATGCTTCATGTACTCATCCAGTATGACGCCTGCAGGGTAAGCTGAAGGCAGCTGAACCAGCTGCAGGTTCTTAGTGATGTTCTCCCAGTCGTCGACTAGGAGGCTCTTTAGCCGATCTGGCATGTAGATCCTAACAGCCAGCTTGTTCTGGAATGCTTCTTCCTAAGGGGAGTTAGAGAGTGAGTTGCTAAGCATAGGACGAATTGCTGGAATACACACCTTCTCTAAGTCATTGTCCCGCACCCTCTTCTGACCGCGTGGTGCAGCAGTGACGGAGGTTTGGCGCTCTTCGCTACCGCGCGCCGAACCTTGAGCCTTCTTTTTCGCAGGTGCGGGCTGGGCTCTTGCGGCACGCTGGGCTGCCAGCATCTCGTGCCTGAGGTTATTGGCCAACTCTCGGTTCTCGGGAGACAGCTTGCGAAGCCGGTCCTCAGGAACCCAGTCGTCCCAGCTGCGATGCGTTAGCTTGCGATCTCAAAAGCAAGCCGCGGGTTTTTGAGTTTTGAGGGGCCGATTTGAAATGATGTGCCGCTGCGAATGTGTAGTAAAGGTGTAGTACGTGGGCACGAGTGAAGTGTATGCAGAGGCAAACGTGACTTCCGCAGTGGGAGACGGTGTGACAAGCAGGCGGGCGCAGACTCGAACGGATAGAAGATACGTACGTGTTCTTCCAGCCCTTGTAGTGGACTCTGTATTCGAAGCCATTCTTCTTGTCTTCTTCTACAGGCCTGACTTCGAGCACCTTGGCCTCGTATAGCAACTCATGGTGGAAACAAAAGACCTTTTCATCTTTCTTGAAGGAAGGCTCTGGCGCAGCTGCGGGCGCCATGATTGCGATGGAATGTGATGAAACTGATGTCGATGGGTTTGGTAGTCAGGAAGGAAGCGGTAAGGGTGCGAAAGATTGCACGTCCACGTAGCGCGTCTTCGTGCCAGCCCTGGAGTGATACAACAAGAGAGATACTTTGCGCCGCGAAAGTGAAGTGAGGGTTGCCTGAATACCGGAAACAGTCGACAAGCCCGGTGAAAGACGGTTCAGTCGACGTTTGCTTGGAGTCTTCCAGGCACGTCTCACGGGAGTTTTCTGGGCACGGGCCACAACGCGTCGTCGCGCGTTCCGATGGCCCTCCTTCATTGGCGCATCCACCACCAACACTGCCGTATCAATCATATACGTGGGCACTGTCCGGCCTGAAATCGACACCTACTACTCTAATCATGCCGTCGCAAGAGGCCAAGATCCTCGGTGACTTCCTCCTCGCACCTGCTCCCTTGCGCGACTTCACCACCCTACGCGACTTCACCGACATCTTCCCCCGCGCCCACCGCTCCAACCCCGCCGTGCAGGAGATCTATCGCGAGCTTCAGCACATACGCGACAGGGAAATCGAGCTGATTCGCCAGGACATTATCGATGAGGTCAAACGGTCCAAGCAGCTGAGGCGGGAGTACGCTCGGGAAAGACGCCACGTAGACGATGCAACCGTCGCCGGACTGGACCCGATTGCGCTTCAAATGGAGCAGGAGGTACCCAACATATGGGAAGAATGCCAAGATTTGCGCTGACAATCACCAGCTCTCCGACCAAAGTCGCAAGAAACCGCACACGCTACAGACGGTCCACTCCGACATCGAAGAAGCATGCCAAACCCTCGAGGCCCAGATCGCAGAGATAGAGCAAGAGAACAGACGGGCTTTGGCTGAGGTCAAAGACGTTGTTGGCGCCCTCAGTGAGCTGCGACATGGCCGCTTCGCACCGTCGTCCAGCGGAGAAAACATTGGAGAAGAAGTCATGGCCACGCTCAAGCAACTTGAAGCTGTGTGCGATAAACCGGCTGGATGAGAATTGCGAATATCCGAGCATCGTCGTGACGAATGCACTGTACAAACATGAGGACCATGCTAGCGGTCGAAAGGTTCAGTCTTCGACTTGGATCACACACTGCCTGAGCTGGTAAAATTGCGCATTACCGCCCAAGGCTATCGACCGCAAAACGAGGTTACGCTTGCGCAGTTTTTATGCCGGTCAGGGAAGTAGTATGTCTACAGAGACGTTTGTGCGATCCCGCACTACGCCGAGCAGTAGACGCCACTCTTCAATCGTTGACAGGAACAACACCAGCACTAGGACAAGGGATCCAGATCATCCCCGTAGATTTGGATCAAAGGATATCCTGCGACGTATCGCAGCACGTCGCAGTGCTTCCTGTCCACACCCGAATCATTACCAAGGCTATGTATCTAGGATAAAGTGAGCGCACAACGTAGCTGCCACTCCCATCCGCCGGACTTGCGCACGACGACTCTGATACATGGTTTCATCCGATCCTCATCGCGGCAAATATCATACCATAACATCTTGCCAATACCCGATGCGACGCTTGCTGTGCTCATTCTCCGGTGCATCAACCACGCGTCTGTATCCCCGTTAGCCAGGACCATCACGAGCACAAGACAGCGTGACAAACCCAGTACGAACTCCAGAAAACATACCCTGTCAACTTCCATCATCCCGCCGTCCAGGTTAGCGACCCCGCGTATACTGCCTGCAAGCACGCCGTGATTGGCTGCACGCACCACCGCAATTAATCTATCCATATGAACATTGTCAATCCCGCAAGTATCAACATCTAGTCCGCCGTTACAGAGATCTGTCTATAGCAAAACTTCTACACGTGTTCAGATCAGGATGATTGTCTTATACCGCGTCGCAATGCAATTCCTTTCCGTTGTCTTGTCGTCCATGCCATATTCGCAAAGATGTTCCTCCCATCCTTCCTGACACTATCACTATCCCTCATCGCCTACTCTCCCCTCGCCTCCGCCTCCGCCTCCTCCTCCCTCAGAATCACCTCCTCCAACCACTCCTTCGGCGGCGTAAACTACCCCCAACTCCAATTCTTCACCCCCTCCCACCGCGACGCCACAATCCGCGAAATCATCAAAAGCGGCGCCCGCGTAATCCGGCTCTTCATCCGCCCAGATGCCCAACACCCAGATCCAGAAGGCGAGATAGGCGGCTTCGACAAGTCGCTGCTCGACCAATTCGATGACACGCTAGCAGCCATTCACCATTTGTCGAAAGGCCAGATGAAAGTCATCATCGCACCGCACGACGCACATGCGCTTCGGGGTACAAATGATGTAGCCTGCGACGCCTACTGCCAGAAACTCAACGGCGCGTTCCTCGATTTCTACAGCAACGAGGAATATCGCGACATGTACAAAACACGCCTCAGCGTCTTCTTCACCCACTACCCCTCCAAGAACTTTGACGGCCGCCCCTGGAGCACCTTATCCGAAGTCATTCTCGGCGTCGACCTTCAAAACCAGCCTTTCTCTGGCATCTCACCCATCCCATCCGGCGAATCCTGGCTCTGCGACATCGCCTCCTATCTAAAATACAGCATCGGTCTCGACGCATCCAACATTGCCGTCATCAGCGGCGGCGTATCAGGTGCACAATCCGTTGACGGGAATGAGAATTTTCCGGATAGCGTGTTTGACTGCAAGGCTATTGATGTTATTGGTATCCATGGGTATTTCGATAAGAGGACTGATAGGACGGCGGGGACGGCGTGGGCGGATTTGTTTCTGCCGGGCAATACGTTGATGGGGAGGGCGGAGGGGAGGAAGAAGGGGGAGGGGAAACTGTTGTTGGTGGAGGAGTGGGGGTATGTGCATAGTGAGGTGTTTGGGTTGTTTTATAAGAGGGAGGCGGTTTGGGATGGGGGGAATGTGCTGAATTATAGGGGGATTCCTTGGGTGAGTAGGCCTTCCATTTCTTCTCTTCCCCCCTTCCTTACCGTTTGTGGTACTGAAGACGTGCTATACCGTACTAACAACCCCCCTCAGCTATACTCCCACCTAACTCCCCTCTCCGAAGGCAAATCCTCCCGCATAAACCCCCTCCACCCCACCTACACAACCTGGCCCGCCCTCGTCGATATCCTAAAACGCTCCTTCACAACGCGTAGTCCCTTCTCCTGGTCCAAATACCTCCACCCACCCACGACCATCATCGCCCCCTCCGCCGACGAAACCACAGAAGCCTACCTCCGCTCCATGCTCACCGGTTCCCCTGCCACTAAAGAATGGAAGCTGAAACCAGCGGGCCTGTCCAACGTCACGAGTGTGCGGTTGAACCCGTATATCATCGAACAAAGCGACTGCACTTTTGGCTGCGTGGGCCATTTATGTGACGCAGCAGATGATTGTTCACCAAATCTTCTCTGTAAAAACAGCATATGCCAAACCAATCCAGACTCGCAGCCAGGGAAAGTGGGAGACAGATGCAACAGCAAGGCCGTCTGTCAGAGCCATTTACGGTGTGTGGAGGGGGAGTGTGCGGCTTGTGTTGCACGTACAACCATCCAACCGGAAAACAAGAAGAGGAAACGAACGATCCCAGGAGACAGCGGGATGCAGCAAGAGGAAGAGGAATATAGGAGGAGGTATGCGGTCAAACCGAATGATCCAAAAGGAACATGCTACACAGATTCCCTCCCCCACCTCTTCGAAACCATCAGACTCTCCCCCTCTTCCCCTTCTCCACAACCCCCTCCAATATGTCTCCCCCCCTCCCACCACCCCAACCCCTGCACAACACCCACCCACTGTTCCGCCTCACAATACTGTTCCTGGGGCTTATGCACACCCTGCTCCGCAACAGACGCCTGTCTCGGGTCGCCCTGCCGCAGTAACAACGCGTGCAAAACGGGTTTCTGTAACGATTACGGGAGATGTGATTATGTAGCCGCTAGGAAGAAGAAGGCGACGGGGCCGGGGGGCGCAAGGGGAAAAGTACATGGGAGGGTAGCGGGGGTGCCGAGGGGGTTTGAGAGGGGGCCTGCGAGGGTGAGGAGTGAGAGTATGAGGGTTGTGATACCAGAGGAAGAGGAAGGACCGGCTGCTACTGCTACCGCTGCGGCGTGAAGTCATCATCACACATTAACTATGTAGAGTGGTATAAGAGCGTACTTGCAAGGCACGGCAAAAGACAGTCCATCTGAATATAGATATCCTCAATCTCGAACAAAATAAATTCCTCAGCTAAATATTTACAAGAAGATTATTTCATACTAGTTAGTGTGTTGGGGTATCGTATCGAATGCCTCCCTCCCTCCCTTCCTCCCTTTCCCAAAACTCCTTTTTGTGTTGGTAATCTGTAGCATGTACAATCATGGGATCACGCCGTCATGACCTCGTAGAACGCATGCGTGGTGTGATTCTACGCTGAGACGGGGTCGTGGCTCCAGGCGGGGCGTTGTTCGAGGAACTACCGTTGCGTCATCAGTCGGGTCTTCGTGCTAGCAGGTGACAAAGCGTATGGCGGTAGCAGGTAACTGTCGGGTCCACTGCAGTGGCAATCCGGCAGATCACCCCATCGAAACCCGATACTTGTCATTCTCCTCAATCAGCTTCTCCAAGAACGCCGCCGCCTCAACAAGAACCTGACTCTTACTCAGCCCGCCACCTCTTACAGCAGGCACAACCTCATTCAAATCCTTGTACCCCTGCTTGATCAAATCCCGTCGCTTCTGCTCCGACAAAATATGATTATTCCGCTTCTGTTCCTCAGTAAGATTCTCGCGATGTGCCTTCTGAGCCGCAGTTGATGCCCGCTTCTTCTTCGTACTATCCTCCACCGTAGACGCTTTCCGAGCCTTGCCATTGCGCGCGGCTTTCTTGGGTGTGTCTTTGCTATATCGCACCTGGCTCTTTTTCCGCTTCTTCGCCGGCCGGTCTTCGTCTTCGTCGTCGGATTCGGCGTCGTCGGATTGCGAGGCGGAGTCTCGTGGCCCGCGAGTGTAGGTGGTAGGGGTACTTGGTCCTTGTATGCCGGCTACGGCTCGGAGGATGTGGTGCGAAGTCTCTTCAATGTCTTGTATTGATGCCCTGGCTGCGCTCTCTGCGTCCGGGTGGCCGTTGGGTATTGAGTAGCCGGATGGGCTGTTGAAGGAGTTGTCGGTGCCGAAAGTATACGACCTCTTCAAGTCGAGCTTCTGCAGCGGTGGGCCGAATTCGGAGTGGTGTTGTTGTGACGCCTGGCTCGCTGCCCATCGTGAGGCATACTGTATGTCGGTGGCCTGGGCGTTGTGGTTCGGTACCAATGATCCCAAGCGTTCGTGTATAAGGCCGTGTTGGGGCATTGTCATGGGCAGCGTGTTGAGATTCAGATCGGGGGCCCTACTCGCGTCGAAGCCGTTGGAGGCGGTAGACAGCTCATGGAAGCTGTGCGAGCGGCCATTCGTGTATGAAGGCTGGGCCTGGTTGAAGAGAGCTGTGGCTGCCTGGAGCTCATCCTGGGTATTGCCTAGGAAGTCTGTGTGGAGCGACGAGGGGTATTGCTGGTCTTGGTGGAAGTTGTTCTGCAGACGAGCCTGGTCTGGTATAGTGCTGGTCACGCGGTGGACCGTGGGCGGGGCTATGAAGTCTTCCCAGTTGTTGTAGTCGTGGGCGCTCGCCTTTGTGTCGAGGGCGGGTGCGAGGGCGGCCGCGTCTACGAGGTCAAAGGGATTGGTCGAGGAGAAGAAGTTGTCGAGCTGCTGGTTCTCCATGTCGCTGAGGATGGACTGGCCATTGTGGTCGTAGGTGGCGGGCGGGCCGTCGAAGAAGTCGTTGGTGAAGGTGTCTGCTCTGCGTCAGTGTGTAGTCTCTGGGCGGTGGTCGGCAAGCGTACAGCCAAACGGCGGCGGGTCCTTGTCGTTCATGGCGGGTCGTGGGAGGCGCCTGGCCGTAGCACCCGCGAGCCCCGCGAACGACTGATGCGACAACGTCTCCAGCTTGGTGGTGGGTGAGGCCGAGGGACAGACTGCTGTCTACTCTCTGATGCCTCTACCGGCTTGGCCGGGCTGGATGAGGCGCTGGTTTAGGCCGTCGACAAGTCTTCACAGTGCTTGTGCGAGTGGAGGCGTCGAGACTGGCGTGGTTGGGAGGTGTTGAGAGAGTGCGCGCGATATGACGTGAGGAACGAGCATTCGCAACGGCGCTGGTTGCGCTGCCGGGATGGGGCGTCGGACAAGACAGTGCCGGTGAGCAGGCGCATCCCCAGCGGGCGGCGACAGTGAATTCGTGTCAAGTGTTGTATAGGCAGAGACTCGACTCAGAGACGTCAAGCGCATGCGTCTGGTTGCGCGTGAGAAGTTGGACCGCCATCACATGTGAAAGATGTCTTGCGCCCACCTGCTGAGCCCACTAGCGCCCACCACCTCGCTTGCTCCTTCCCTGCTCCCGGCCGCCAAGCTCTCCGAACCCTCAAAGGATGACATGCATCCACACCACAGCGACCTGGTTACTGTCATCACAGCATGGCTCAGGCACAGGAACTAGCTCCAACTATCCGCATGCCCTTCGTTGGCCTCCTACATACATCAACGTCTCTCCTTCTGTCCAACACCTCATTCCTGCTCGGACAAACCTTCTCACCGCAACGAGCCGTCTCGCCGGGATCCGAGTGCGCCTAGAGATCAAGAAGGGAATCTCCTCCGCCATTTTCTTCAATGGCGCGCAACCGTGTCCCAGCACTCTTCTGCGGTCCGAAAACTGCAGTGGCGGCACACGACAGTCTTTTCGTTGGCCGAACCTACCGTAGCTCCCGTCCGATCACCTCTAGTTTGCGCATCCCAGGGGTCAATCTGGGGAAACGATGACTGTTGCTACGGTTTATTCCCTCTCATCGAGCACCTAAACTTGTCGACCATTCCACCCCCGGTTTGTTCCGTGACTGCTCCTCATTTCATTACACTGTAGCCACTGTGTCGGTTTCTGCCTCGGCTGCCCACCAGCGATCTACAATGCTTGTGTCGAGCCCGAACCTCGTACGACACTACAATTTGATTAATCTCCAAGTACTAGCTGTTCCCCGTACTTCGCTACTCGCTTTCGCTACTAATTCCTCTATCCGGAGCACTATGGTTATGTCGACATACTGTTTCTTTACGTAGCACAAACCCCGCGTACTTGCGACAGCAGTTCGGGTCCAACATCCAACATTGTTACCACTTTCGATAACGCCTTATCTTACTAAAGTTCTACGTATTTGCAGCTATAGAAGTGTTTCTACACTTACGCTTTAGTATAGACTTCTATATACTATATTAAAATAATTATAGAATATTACTATAATTATAATTACACTTAAACTTTGCTACTATAGCACTTATAGATTGCGCTATTACTCGCTGTAGAGCATGCAAAATAGATTGCTACTAGAGAAATAGGCCTAAGTACTAGTTCTTAAGCTAGCTTATCTTTTATTCGTTTCTACTTCTAAAAAGATCTCCAAACAAGCCTTCGTTGATGTTCTGCAACGTCCAGTCATCTGTTGCATATAAGTCTTGAGAGGGGTCGAGCTGCGACCATTGCGCATCCCATTCGAAGAACAACGGTAGAACATCCTCCAACGGTTGGCTTGCTTGTCCTAGATCAGTCTGCGCCACTGTCAACGCCGACTGCCCGTAGCCATCCGCATCTCCATGAGACTTGGAGATGACCCTGCGTTGAAGATTGATAGAGCCAAAGTAGGGTATACGAAGCTGCAGCATCGTCTTGGCCTCATCTACAAAATGGCCATCATAGTCCGTCGCCCCTTCCTCATCACTTTCCGCACTAGCCACAGTGCTAAACTCGGCGCCGTTCGCCGCCGCGGCTTCCACATCAAGCAAATGGTGCATAATGCGCGAAAGCTTCATGGCAATAGCATCGTTGTCCATGGCGTCCAGTATACCCACCATGCGCTCCATCAACGCGCAATCGCTGGGCCGATTCTGCTGCAAGGACTGCTGCTGCGCATGATTCGCAGCCCCATTACTCTGATCAACGTGCGCAATGCACAAAACCACGAACGCTACAAAAGACAAGTAGTCTATGGTGCGACAGTAGCATTGCCCCGCGATCCACGTCCGAAAGGCAAGGCTTCGGGTGAGTAACTCGCGGCTCGCAGTGACCGCCACAACCTTGCTATCGTCGAAACGGCTGTCCGGTGAGCGATCCAGCACGTACGGTAGATGAAGGCGTATGAGAATATGATAATGTGCGCATTGGTAGTTTAGGCGGGCCATCTCATGAAAGGTATCGACTGATGCGTCACGAGCGGCACCAGAGGCTTCGTAGCTAGGGATCAGCCACCATGCAGCAGGCATGGCCGCAGCCACCGAATGCAGCATATGGCTAATTTCCTGGGTTTGCTGTGAGATCTCGCTAGGAGACTCACAACCGGTTCGTGAGAGGAGTAATCCGGAGATGAAGACGTGGACATGGGCCATTCTGTCCATCGAGGGGAGATGAACAAAGGCGTCGTTGTCGATGTTGGACGATATATTGGCGGTGGTGGTGGTGTTGGTGAACTCGAAGTAAGTACCGAGGGAGGACATGGGAAGGCCTAGTGTCATGGACGTGTAACGGTCCATTTCCATTATGCGGAAACTGAGGTACTGTGCGTTGAAGTAGTGTTTTGTGGCTGGATCGAGCATCTTGAGCGACGACAATGAAGAAGAGGAGGGTGATCTTGTTTGTCGACGATGTAATCCCTTCATCTGCGCGATGGTACAGGCGCGTCGTGTAGTCATCCAGGCTTTGTTCAGATCCCCTGCGTAATTGTGTATGATGGCTTCGATCATTATGCTTTCTAACCCTTCTACACTTACGGTGAGGGAGTCATGACTTGTTACTAGTTTGGATGCTGTGGCGAGCGCCTGGGACATCATGAAGGTGAAGTGAGCCCGTTTGGGGGCTGGGATCATGTGAGCGGTTGACAGTGCATCTTGAAGGAGACTGGCTAGGAGGAGGAGTTTCCGCGCGAAAAGTATGGGATGGGACGCTGGCGGTGGTAGCTGTAGCAAACTTTGAGGTGTGATATGGGCCTCTCCTTCGCTTAAGCGGGATGATGGGTACAATGTCATGTGGAGGTGGGCTGAAAGACATGCGGGGAGGTTGTAAATGAAGTCGAGGTCGGCTTTATGGGGCCATGCCTCCATGAGATCGCGTGCTAGGCCGGTGTAATCACTGAGCTGGAAGGAACAGGGTGATTGGCACGTGCTCTGTGGTGTGATCTCCTTCAATTCGTGGGGTTGCTGGTTGCTGTTTATCCCCTCGATTGAGATTCCTTCTATCTCGCGCGAAACTTTCTTGCCCTGGAGGCGTGAGGTTCTTAGGCTGGTAGCACTTTCGTCCGTGTCCGAGGCATGAGGACTGTAGTGCTGGGAAAATGTGCTGACTTGCTCTGTGAGTCGCTCAAGAAGTCTTTCAACCCTGCTCAATCGAGACTCAATCGAATTGTTTGTCTTGTCAGGACTCGTGCTTTGCTCTTCGGGAAACTCTTGGCTAATGCATATTGTCTTGCGGCGCGAACAGTTGTCGCAAAAGGTATCGGTCGATGAAGCCCATGTACAGCGCACCTTTCGCCGCTTACATTCCCAGCAACTCTGTGTGCCTTTGCGGACCTTTCTTCGTTTAGCAGCCGGGTCATCGTCGCGGTCTTGTCTGCGATACATTGGGGGTAGTAAGATCTTGTTGAGAACAAATGATGTTAATGTTCAGAATGTTTTTTCGCGGCAGTACCAGCTGGCGTTTCGTCCGCGAGCTTCGGCGAATAACGGCGCTCTAGCCGCATCCGGTGTCATGACTGTCACGTGTATATGTCATCATAATTGCACTCTGAATGAGCCACTCATGGTACATTTGGCACAATGTCAATGGCTTTCTCTCCCACAGTATGAACTTTGGCCTGCAAGACTACCAATTACCCTCTTTCCATACATGCGCCCAGAAATCCTCCGCAGCCGTGAACTTGTAGTCTGGCAGAAGACGGTTCCACTCGTCGCCGCAATCAAAAGATTGTGTTCCGATCATCGTCAACATCCCAGATGTAATCATCTTCGCTGCCGCTTTCTTATCTTCAGGTGCGATTGAAGGGTGCCCAGGGAAGGGAAGCCATGAGCTGGTATAGTCTCCGCTTCGGAGATCCTCCATCTTCAGTGCTTCAACATCAAAGCGTCCTCCTGTACGGCAACGTAAGTATCTCATGAGACGCAATTGTACGAAGGATGAGTAGAGTGCTTACCACGTATCTTTTCTCCAATAGCAATGACTTCGCGAACAGACAGCCTAGAACCCCGCATACCACCCTCAACAGGCCATTTGCCCTCGAACTCAACAGCGCGAGCAACTACATTTGCAACATCTTGAACCGTCGTGAAGGCTATGTGGTCGTCTTCGCCGCCGTCTCGTATGAGTGCTCTTCGGTTTTGAAAGTCAAAGACCATCTCAATCGGTACGATGTGTTTGGAGGTTTGATAAGGAAGAGTGAGGTAATTGCAGAAGAGCCCAGGTTGGAATAGACAATATTCAAGAACTGTTCCATCCTTGTTGATGTCCTCGAGGTACTGGCGTGTCTTTGCTTTGTAGGCGTACGAGGCCATGTTCTCATACCCGCCCTTTGTAACCCACTCGCTGGGTGCGAAACGTTTTACACCAGCCTTGATGGACGCATCGATAAGAGCTTTCTGAGCTTTCTCAGCTTCAGCCTGATCGTTAGATGGAGCGAAGAACGATATGACAACATTGACGCCTTGCAAGATGTTTGTGAGTTCGTCCACGGAGTAGTTTGTCTTGGCCCAGGTTACAGCGGAGTCGCTCTTCTCGGTCGGAGCGTCCTGAGTAGTGCGCGATTAGCTGCTGTCGTAGATTGGCAATGTTTGATACTCACTCGACGCGAGAGGATTGTAACATCATGCTTCTTGGTAGCGACTAGGACATCAATGACCTCCTGTCCAAGACCTTCAAATGATCAGTGATGCACTTTGTGGGCTAGACACTGGATACTTACTTCCGCCACCACCTGCAATTGCGATCTTGACCATGTTAAGATTTAGTGGTATTAGTTCTGGGGTTTCGTGCGGTGGTCGTGTACGTTAATTTGATTTGATTGTTGTCTAGGCTTAGGAGCGTAAAGTGTCACGTTATATATGCTAGATCTACGACCGAGAGTTCGGCCGAAAACACTCAGCCGAGTCGCTAAGAGCTTCGACCGAATATCGGGCCCACCCCATGAAGGAGTTGATTTCAAATAATTGTTGGGCTTGCTACTTGGGATTTGGTCGGCCGAGTTAATGGTCAGGAACTTCGTCATCGATACTGGGAACAGCGAGAGCCGGACCGATCGCGACCAAGGCTGAAACGTTATATGATTGCGCAGCACCCACCACAGTCAACTGCACCGTCATCACCCGCATTCACCTACCGACAATGCCAACCACCATCGCAATTGCTGGCATCAGCAGTAAGCTTGCGCTTCTCGTTACAAAAGCGCTGCTGCAACGACCTGATGTTCACATTCGCGGCTCCTGTCGGGACATCAAGAAGCTTCCAGACAGTCTCAGTTCCTCTTCTCGCGTTTCCCTGGTGCAGAGTGGAACATATGATCGCGACACCCTGAGGGACTTAGTGCGCGGTTGCGATGTAGTGGTATGCTGCTATTACGCGAGTAGCGAGGTTATGCTAGAGGCGCAGAAGCTCTTGATTGACCTGTGCGAAGAGGAAGGTGTCAACCGATACATCGCCAGCGACTACACCGTAGATTACGACAAGCTTGACCGAGGCGATCTAGTCGTTAAAAATTTCGCCAAGGACGTTAAGGCATATCTGTATTCAAAGCCCACCGTCAAGGGTGTACACGTACTGATCGGTATCTTCATGGAAACCTTTCTCGAGCTCTTTGGAGTCTGGAAGCCGGAAACAAACGAGGTCGCCTACTGGGGCACTGGAAACGAGAAGTGGGATGTTACGTCATACCAGACAGGAGCAGAATACATCGCTGCTGTGGCTCTCGATTCAAACGCGGCTGGCTTCCTCAAATGTAAGATATCTCGCTGTTAGGTCGACATACAACACTGACAGCGTATCTAGTCCGAGGTGATCACAAGAGCGCTGTAGAAATTGCTGATGATGTTGGAACCGTCTACGGCACCAGGCCTACGCTGAAATGCAACGGGTCTTTGGCGGACATAGCTGAAACCTTGGATGGGGTAGGCAACGCTGAAAACGTTCAAAAGTAAGTCACAATTCTATGGACCAGCTCAGAGCGTAAACTAACATTGTGACTTGCTTGAAGGGCTGCGGCCTACTTCGTGCTGAGCGGGAAGATTGCTTTTGGTGAAGACATTGACAACGAGAAGTATCTCTTCGTGAAGCCGGAACCGTTGATTGAGGTGCTGCGACAACACCAGAAGTAAAGGAAACGGAAGACGAAAAGAAAATGTTAGACAGAGCCGATGTGAACAAGTTCTAACCATTGATGTTATCCCTTTGTAAATTCAACTTATTGTTTACACTTTGTGTGTTTGATTTGATCATTAAACGTTGACGTGGTTAAACGCAAGCTTTGTTCTACTCTAACGTGAACGGCAAGCGAACCGGCCAGGCAAGCGAGCTGAACACCCCACCAAGATTGCGTACCTTTGTATATAGATAACCTAACACCACAACAAGCTACTATATTGTACAAGACATTAAACTACTGCTTAGTATCTACAGTATTTTTCTTGCACGTGCGCGAGTTGTGTCCTACCCCCCTACAGCTTTCGCAGCGTCTTTTGCTGCCTCGGCCTGCACCTATTTAAGACCTACCCTCGCGCGTTTCCCTCTCTAGTTGTGCCTCAACGTCCTGTTCAGCAACTAATTTATCTGCCTCCGCCTTTAATAGGTCTCCGCCCTTCTGTATCCGCTTTCTTTTGCGCTGTTTGCGCTCAGATGCAGCCTTGCGACGAGTGTGGCGGCATACAGAGGGTAATAATCTTGCTTTTCTCGCAAAGATCCTGGAACGCAAGCGACTTGTGGCTCTTGTAGCTGTTAATAATAAGTAGCTAATAGCTACCTACTGTGCAGGCCTCTATATGCTTAATAAAGTGCTGCAACTAGGCTAAACTAAGCTTATTTATTGTCTAGCTATTGTCGCTAACTCTAATACGCTAGTGTTTTAGTCTGTCGTGATACTAGAAGCTATCGTAGTTCTTAGCTTTAAAGATAAAGAAGAGCGGGATCGCCTAGCCCTTTATATTAACTCCTGCGATTAACGTAACTAACTTATAATTGCTAGGTTAAACGCCTATAGGTTAATTGCGTTGCTCTAAAGTAGTAACAATCTTTACGCTTTCTGCGTTACTTATAGTAAAGCTAGTCTTATTAAAGTTATAGGTATTATTATCTAGGATACTATACTTTCTCTTTATATTCTATATAAAGTTAAACTAGAAGCTAATAACTACTAAATTACTACACAGAACTCTCTAGCGATTGCGCTATTAAGTTAGTTAAGCTTTAAGCTTAGGCTTGCGATAGACAAGATTGCTAGCCTATTTCTCGCTAACCTAGCTACTACTGCGTATAGCAAGCAATTATTTAGCTATTTTACGCACATAACCTAGCGTAGGCGCAAACCCTCGCGCGTCTAGCTTTCTTATGTATTAGACAAGCGTGTCTTCTTTATACTTTGTAAGCCTTAACAAGTTAGCCTAAGAATCGCGTTGTGATGTTGTTCTAGCGCGTTAGTTATAGAGGGTGCTTTGACGAACGTTGTAGATTGCTGCAGCGCGTCGCTCGCTTAGGGACGCGTCTTCTCTTATTACTTAAATAGCTAGGATAACTCTATACTTATAAAGAAGTATTTCTCTGTTGTGTTGTTAAGACATTGCAGCTAAAAGTAAAGAGTCGCGCAATCTTGGTGGGATGGTCGGCTCGCTTGCCGTTCACGTTACTATTTACTTTTCTAAACTCTACCTATCAAAACCTTGCAACTCTCCCTTACACACTAAGATCCGACGATGGACTACACTCATACTCGGTTAAGGAGATGATTTGGCAATCAAATCCTCTGAGAGCTTCCATAGCATTTCAGCCTTGTTTTCATCTACCGCCCACGAAACTGGCTGGCCAAGCTGGTTATCTTCTAAATACACACCGTTTGCAGGACTAAGCTGAGGATCCGAGGCTGCTACCAATACTGTAGAGCTTCCTTGGTCAGTGGTCTTCCACAGTACCTCTCTGAGTGTCGCTTTCTGTTCTTCCGGCGCCTCTGCGATGGTTTTCTTCGCGGCTGTGCTATTTACCCCTCCGGGGTTGACCGTAAAAGCAAAAATCCCTTTTTCGGAAAAAAGTTTGCTGAAGTGAATGGCGAAGAGAGCATTGGCGGTCTTGCTCTGTCCGTAAGCAATGAAGGCATTGAACTTTGAAGTCTCAGATACTCCGACGATGTTGCTTAGTACAGGCCAATTTGGTCTCTCGCTGGCGGGAATGTCTTTGTCGCAATCAAAGTTCCAGTCGCTGAAGCGGAAAGGGCTGAATTGGCATGCCACGCTGCTGAGAGTAACTAGGCGGGTTGCACCAGGAGGATTCAATCTGGCGGCGGCAAGCAGTTTTGGAAGGAGCAGCTTGACCAAGAGAAAGTGGCCCAGGTGATTGGTAGCGAGATGCACCTCTACGCCGTCCGCTGTGAGTTCGCGCTCTGCACTCTCGAATTGGCTACCAGCGTTGTTGACAATGATGTCGATGTTTTCAATCGATTTATCCTCTTCTATTTCGTTCGCGGCGCGACGAACATCCTGGAGTGAGGAAAGATCGAGAGCGACGCAACGAAACTTTGTAGACGGATACGTAGCGGAGATTTGCCTGGCAAGCTCTTCCACACGTGCTTTGTTTCGTGCGGTTGCGATGATCAAAGATGCGCCACCGTGTGCAAATGCACGAGCTGTAGCCTCGCCGATGCCTCCAACAGAGACGCCAGTTATGAGGACCGTTTTGTGAGCGATCTGCGAGGAGTAGGTTTTGGCAATTTCTAAGCCGCCAGTTTGCTTGGTGAAAGATGTGTTTGTAGCCATAATGGTCGAGCCAGCAGATACGGGCTTCGTGGTATAAATGGTATTGTCGATAGTAGATTGTTGATGACAAACGGCGCACAACGCGAGCGCATCATCACTTATATAAGAGCTCGGTTTTCAGATCGTGTATCACAATTGCACTGTGCGATTATTAGACCGATCGACAAAAGATTAGAAATTAACATTCCGTTCAATGTGTTAAGACGGTCCGCCGAAGATTCGGCCGAAAGTTGTGCTGCATTAAGAATAAGTTCCTCTAGTTAGTTTCTTTCTACGCTATTCTTACAATAGGTAGGCGATACCGTAGCCGAAAACCTAGCGTTACAAGTACGTAGAAACAGTCCTCTTATTATAGGTCTATAATTAATGTAGGTTTAGCATTAAGATTTAAAAGAACTAACCTACTGTAAGGCTACTAAGATTTATCTCAAACGCTAGCTTAATTTTTACTAGCGTTGTATAGATTATAGGTATTCTATTTATTTAAATAAAAGTATATATAAAAAGACACTATATTTAGAATATACTTATTACTAGGCCTATTATCTATATATACTATTATTTCTTTTATAGTCTAAGGTTTTTCTAAACTTCTAAAGCTACTACTACTATAGCTTATTTAAACTACTATATAGCTATAATTTTAGGCTTAATAATTATATCTTAAGTATTAATTTAAATAGATATTTTAGTATAGAAAGCTTTTATATCTCTAAAATAGTAGTTATAAGCTATAAGTCTTAGTCTACCTAACGCCTACACCTTTAAACGTAAGATTTTATACCTTTTAGAAATACAACTTTCTGTGTACTAGTAACAGACCTTGCTCTTTTTAGACTAGCTTACTATAGAATTATTAGTTTGCTAATAAAATAGAGAAACAAAAGCACGGCCTAATAGTATAGTCTAAAGAACACATTTATGTTCTGTTAAACACCGATTAATTATGTTATCCACGAACAGGCGAGATACCTAACCCCTCGACGCCCACAGAACATATACCAGCCTGATATCCACGGAATCCTACGTTAAGCCCCTTCGGGTCAAAGGTGCGAACGCTCCATACACACGACGCGAAACCTCAATACCGAGTATCTCGCGGGTAGGACCTATTACGGTTGGCATAGCACGAGGAACTCGAGCCTTCAGGTGATAAAACTCAGAGCACATCTCGATGTAGTTCATGCCGCGAGACTCGGCATATAATAGCGCCAGGTCCGCGACGCCTCCTCGCTATCTTCAGAACACGTTCAGACCGCATCATGGATTCCCTCACCGTCATCCTTATCATCATCCTTGTCTTATTCACCTTGACAATCTGTCTATTCTGGAAAGTGCCTACACCACCACAAACACCTGTCTCGGCACATCACCTACACGACTGCAGCCTCGCAAAGACCAGATTCCCATCTATGAGGTACTACGACATTTCTGCGACAAACTAGCTATGGCTTACGTACTTCTCCCGCCATTCGCAGAGTGCACACCTTTTGCACTCAACGCGAACGAAGCGTTCCCACACGTCATCACGAACCACATGCCTGGATGGGTGGGGGAGGAGGTGGAAGTCGTCTCGCTTCTTGTGTGCGCGCTCGTCTCGAGATGATCAGATTGCAATATCTTTGAGTGGTACTATGGGTGGTTGGATGTGTAATGGCTCGCGAGCTCCGATCGAAGTCGTCCGAGACAGGTGTAGCGCCCTACCATCCTGCCCGAGGACCAAGGAAGTTGTGGGAGGTACACAAAACTGGGACCTCATTCCGTAGAGGAGGACTTGAATGGAAGTTTTGCCCAGGCCGATAAGATTGGGAAGAAACGAAAGATTGGACATTAGAGTGTTGTAGATGGAATTACTAGAGCCGTGAAGAAGAGGTCTGGTAAATGTGAAATTCTATAAACATGTTGGCTACCAAAGTCTACATTTATTCACATTTACCAATCTGCTCGCAAGTTCACGATAGTTCCTAAAGTTGACGACTCAGTGATTCTATGATGCCAATAAATCGTGGGTGTGATAGGCGCTTGCTCGGCTGGGTAAAGTGCAGGGCCCCGCCATCCTGCCCTGCATGCATTTGCGTGTGGTCGACGTCAACGATGCATTTGGCGCCAGTGCCAGCGCAAAGCCCATTCAAGCTTTGTCGCATTGTCTTTGCCCTTGACCCTCTTAATCGCGGCCACTGCCGGTTTTACTTTCTTTTCGCATACCCACTCTCAACCCGCTTCCACGGCCATCTCATTTCTTCAAGGTTCTACAAAATACCCCGCATCACAACGCGCGATATTTGTTTGACGTCTGCGCGACGGTGATCAACCTGATAATCGCGTGCGTCACTAGTCTTGGTACACGGGCTTGGAAGTTGGTCGCACGCCCGCCCAGGCACATTCCAACCTTGGGGTCTGACAGTCAGCCTGGTCCCCGCTTGCAGTTCCCCACTGTTCTGCCCACCACACCTGCGATCAGCGCTGCACTCACGTCCCAACCATGGAGAACAACCTGAGCGCCGCCCGAGCATCTCGGCGCTACCTCGACGAGCGCCTTCGCAACGACTGGGAGTATCCCGACGTGCCCGCCATCTGGTCAGCCTCCGACGAAGAGGTGCGCGACGCTGCCGACTTTCGCGAGCGCTACTACGGCGAGTCGGAATCTGGAGACTCGGATCAAGAAGATGAAGGTGTCGGCCCGTACAGGTTCGACAACCCAGAGAGCATCGGCGATGCGGTAGCGAGCACCAGAGAGGCGCGCAGAAGGCGTCGCAGAGAGAGGCTGGAGCGCGAGATGAAAGACAACGAAGGGCTGAGAATCTGGGTCGAGCGAAGAGACGTGTGGACGGGCGCAGCGAGCGTAAAGAAGTACGGCACGAACCGACAAAGACAGGCGAATCGCCCTTCCTCCGCAGCAGGATACTCTTCCGAAGAGCACGCCGTCACACCCACTGGCTCCGAATCGCACTCCATCACGAGCGCCACGCCCAACACCTTCGACCTTGTCCCCGTCGCGCCGCGTCTTCTCGAGGACAACCCGATCCGTGCCTCCATCACCCCCAAAGCATACCGCGACATTTTCCAGAAGATCGTAGTCTCGTCGCGCACGCCCTCGGTTCCCATCAACCTCGCAGACATGACCAAGGCGCTGGTACAAGGCTGGAAAGACTCGGATGAGTGGCCTCCAAGGGTAGCTGCGGTTGACCCTCTTGCCGGTAAGAAGCGCACTATTATCGGTACTCCATCCAACGGCCATCATGGAGGTTTCATAGCCCGACACCCCCATCTGGAGAAGAGTGTAGACGGCATGAAGCGGATCCTGCATCTCAACGGGCACCACGAACATGGGCACGAACAGGACAAGGAGCATGAGCAGGGTGGGAAAGAGGGCTGAAGCATAGTCGCGGATGAGTCAGTGCTTGTCCTTCACAACGCTGATGCATAGACCATGCAGGAAATACCCTCTTCCACGCTTACCGCGGTACCAACGACGCTCTGCCTACGCCAGAGGACCGCACGAACCTGCTGCGTGCTTCACTATCCTGGCGCGCCCCTCCGATCGATGCGAACAAGGGCAATTTCTGGTCGACGGGGTAGGGGTTGTGTGCACGCGGGCAGTTTCTTACAAGACACGAGCATGTCAGGCGTCTAGATTGAAGCATGCCGACCTCGGCATTCGCATTCACAGTCGCGCATTACGCGATCGAACAAAGCGCTGGTGGAGTTGAGTTACAACAGGCGAAGATCACTGCTGAGAAGGGTGCTCGCATATATCTCGGCGATTGATTTCGATCAGATTGATTGATAAGATAATTTTTCCATGATACCCCCACATAATCCCAGCTTGTTACTACACAATATCCACCGAGATCGCCTGACTTTGCCTGATGTACGAAAGTAGCGGTCGTACATACTAGAAGTGCGTATGCTTGCACGGATCTGCATGCGTATATCTCGGCCGATAGTGTAACGTCGGTCTGTCGGCCGCTGGCGCGAGGCGACTGCAGTCACTTTACGCCTTGTGCGGGGCTGGTATGCGACGCTTAGTGGACCGTAGCCTTGCCGTAGCCTGGACAGCAGCCACAGCCTAAAGCCATATCGCCTTGCAGCGCTTTATCAGCTCCGCTCTTTCGGACTCCTCGGTCGCCGTAGACCGCAAGTGGACACCATGGAGGTGAGACCGTTGGGGGGAGGGGCGGGCAGTCGGTAGCCCGCTGTACTGCAGCGTGATGATCCTCATACAAGGTACAAGTGACGGGGTGTATTCGTCCGCAAGCGCATAAGTTGTTTGCGATAGCCAGCTCTTTTCTGCCGTCGGTAATTCTTTCGCCTTGCTCTTTTCTTCTCTCTGCTTGATAGATTGTCTTGTCAAGACTCTTCTTCTTCTTCTTCCATACCAACCTACCTACCACATCTTCTTAACCTTAGAAGCAAGCAAACATGCCAGGCACACTCCAAACACCCCAACCCAATGCCTTCCCCCCCGGTCGCCGCGGAGTCTACCTCCTCACGCACCCCCGCTCAGCGTCCAATCTCTTCCAAACCATGATGTCCAAGCAGCCCGGCTACCAGAACTCTGGCTACAAGCTCTTCGACGGCGGCTTTGCTACGCTGATGAATCTTGAGAAAGGACCGCTGAGCGAATGGCCTGAGGAGGAGAGAAACGGGTTGTATGAGACGTTCAAAACGGCGTTTGGCAGCTTGGAGGACGAGTTGGACGATTGCGCGAAGAATGTAAGTAGGGAAGGAAGAGATGAAGTCGAGATGTGGGGTTTAAAGTTATAAGGCAAGGCTGCGCCACAACCGCACATGCGCCCGTCGTGATCCGCCCACAAGATGACGTGCTCGGGCTGGCCCGTCCCATGAATCGCTATCCAAGCCTCGTCTACAACACCAACTAACAACTCCATAGAGCAAACAAGCCTTCGTAAAAGAACACACAATCTTCCTTTCAGGCCCAGACCGCCTCTTCTCCACCGTCTACCCCAACGACAACCCCCCAGCCCTAACCATCCACCAACGCAATGCCTCCCCCTCCTCCTCCTCCTTACCACACACAAACCCCACTTCCGTCCCCGACAGCCTCCTCCTCTCCCTCCAACCCATCTTCCAAATCCGGCATCCGATCCTAATGTTCCCCTCCATGCTGCGCGCGCAGAAAGATTCCTTCCCAGACTTGGTGACCAAACCCCGGACGTTGTATACATGCACAACCTACACCCTAAAATACACGCGCGCGCTGTATGAATGGTATGCGGAGCGGGAGGCCACCTCAGGCATCGTCCCCCGCATCATCGACGCCGACGACATCATGAACAACCCGCTTGCCGTCCGCCAGTTGTGCCTCCAATGTGGCCTCGACCCCGAGGCCGTGCAGTACGAGTGGGAGGAGAAGAAAATCGAGGATAATCCGCTCATGGCCCGGTTTCTGAGCACGATTAATGCTAGCAAGGTAAGTCTTTGGTTGTTACGAAATGCTTGTGAGATGTGAGATATATACTGACTTCGTTCTTCTACTTCTGCAGGGGATTAAACCGGGACTCGCGGCACGGGGCAGGAAATTGGAGGATGAGAAGAAGAAGTGGGCGGAGGAGTGGAATGAGGAGTTTGCGGATGATTTGGAAGATTTTGTGAAGAAGGCGATGGCGGATTATGAGTTTTTGTGGGAGAGGAGGGTTACGGGGGAAGAGTGAAGTTGGGAAGGAATGTTGGGCGGCGTCTTGGGGCCCTGGTATCAGAGGAAGTAGTAATGACATTTTGTCTCTTCGAGTATGTCGACAATCATGGAAGCTCCACACCAGAGAACTCAGCGCAGATCTCCAGCAGCTTGTCCTGAGCCTTCTCATCCTCTGTTGCCTTATGGGGTGTGCCTTGTCGCTTGTTCGGATGGAAATAGCACCCGCTCATTTTGGCCTTCTCTTCCTCTCCCTCAGCAAGCATAACGTAACTTTCGACCGCCGCATCAACGCTGCCTGGCGCCGAACTGCCACCCATCTTGGTAGCCACCCAGCCAGGATCCAATGCATTGCTCTTCACGTCAGGCCATCTGCGGGCGAAAGCTTTGGCAAGCAAGACGTTGTGAAGCTTGCTCGCGCAGTAGGCAGCATTCGCGCTGTATTGGCCTTCGCTGCGTTTCTGCCAAAGGACGTCGTCCAAAGTAGGAGAACCTGACTGATGCATCTCGGAAGAGAGAAATACCAAGCGCTTGGGACGGGTGATGAGTGCGGTAAGCACATATGGCGCTACAGTGTTGACGGCCGCCAAGGCAGGAATCCCCTCGCTTGTCTTGCGGAATGGGCCTTGATAAAGTCCGGCGTTGTGAATCACGCAGTCGAACGCTCCCAGCTTATTGACTTCGTTTGCCATGTTCTTGGTCTCTGCAAGGCTGGACAAGTCGCCCGTCACGACTGTGTCAGCCCCAGGACAAGCTGTCGTGGCGTCCTTTGCACGTTGAGCGTTACGCGCATGCAGAACTGCATCGCATCAGCGCCTGGGTGATGTTTAAGACGGGCATCTTAGATACATACCAACAGAATGTCCATTTGCGACGAGACGTTTGGCGACGGCTGATCCGAGACCGTCGGAAGAGCCTGTGATAAGAATGCGCGCCATCGTGTGGTGTGTTTCTAGGTGGTCTAGCGTTCGCAGGCTTGGACAGAATCTTGAAACCCGTGGGCGTGGGGAAGAGGCGTGAGCTTGATAGAAAGTGGCTATTGCTACGGCCGTTATGGCGTCGTTACGTCATGCCACTACAGAAACGGTGGATACGACGCGCTCGCACTCACAGCTCGGAAGTTACGAACTCCCGTGCCTCTCAGAGTGGACATGGCGGGGGAGGGAGAGTTGGCCCCGGCGAAACGCACCAACCCAACCGCCCGCCCGTCTCACGCCAGGCAGCACTCCTCCATCGACACTATTGGAGCACGACAATATACCTTAATTCATCCCATGTCGGTGCGGCGCATTAGCCAGTGCTTATTTGCGATAAGCTCGTCGACTAGGTGCGCCTCGTAGCGATGTCTGTGCCAAAGAGCTCGGGTTTGACGCATCTCGGGCCAGATTGATCTCGGGTCAGGCGTGCCTCAGCGCACGAAGGCTGAGCTTTGGACGCCTTGGATGCAAGAGCATCACAACTTCAAGGTATATAAGTAACGTGTGTCGCGTCCATCGATATGTCTCAACACATCATCGCCAAACGACTCATCAGAACCATGTCTCTCGCAACAGCTCCCCAACTCAAAGTTCTTGTCAACGGTGCTGGCATTGCAGGATCAAATTTCGCCTATTGGCTCGCCAGAACAGGTCTGAATGCCTCCATCACCGTTCTAGAACGCTCGCCATTCCCTCGGCCCACCGGCCAGTCCATCGAGATCCGTGGTCCAGCCATCTCCATTGTCGAGAAGATGGGCCTCTTGCCAAGCGTTCTTGCACGCAACACCACGGAGGAGGGCACACGCCTGATCAACGCACAAAGCAAGATTATCGCCGAGTTCGGAAAAGGCGGCTTCACATCCGAGTATGAGATCCTGCGATCCGATCTATGTGGCCTATTCCTGGATGCGTCAAAGAGTATGAAGAATGTGAAATACGTGTACGGCGACTATGTCACAGCGGTACAACAAACAGACCAGTCGGTGGACGTGACCTTCGACAGTGGAGCAACAGACAAGTTCGACCTCATCGTTGGCGCAGACGGCTCAGCGTCACGAACACGCTCCCTTATCCTGGATGAAGAGACGCTCAAGGGAAGTTACAACTTCATCGGGCAATACGTCGCGTACTTCAGCATTCCCCGCCAGGAATCCGACACGAAGCACTGGTATTGGTACAACGCACCAAAAGGCCGAGGCTTGATGACGCGACCGCATCGCAACGGCAAGACGATTGGGTGTTACGTCATCATCACAACGCCAGCACATGGACACTACGATCCCCTCGTCGAAGCAGCGATGGAAGGCGGTCCCGAGAAGCAGAAAGAAATCCTTCATACGTATCTCGACGATGCGGGGTGGCAGGCTGAGCGCATCCTCGCCGGCATGGACGCATGCGACGACTTCTATATGAGCCGCTCAGCATACGTCAAGCTTCCTACATGGACAAACAATCGTGCTGTTCTTCTTGGCGATGCAGCCCACGCCACATTCGGTGTTGGTACTACCCTCGCTGTCGAGGGCGCATACTTCCTCGCAGGCGAACTCGGCAAGATAAAGTCCACCGACGATATCCCAGCTGCGCTCAAGCGCTACGAAGAGGCGTACCGCAAGGTCCAAGGTCAAGGTGCAGACTTGCCGCCTGGCTTCCCTCAGTTCGCTTTCCCTCAGACTGCCTGGGCAATAAGGCTACGCGACGCACTCGCCTGGACATTCTGCAAGACGAAAGCGTATAAGTTGTTGCCGGAGGACAAGCCGGATGATTCGAAGCTGCCGCCGTACGAATGGGTCGCTGTGTGAGTAGGGGGCTCTCACGTGTTTTCTTGCTTCACAACAACGATACCAAATGCGATCGCTCTATTATCGCCGTCCTTCTCTCTATTCTTTATGCGCTGCTTAGCAGATACAAATACACCACTGTAACTACTCATATACTCACAGCCTACTTCGCTGTCTCTTCCATGATTCTTTGCGATATAAAGGACTCCCTGCGCTGTCTCGATATGAGCAACGCACTCTACCACAACGCTTTGTTACTGCATCATCCTTCGCTTGTTCTTTATAGCATCTCCATAGTCAGGATTCTTAGCGAATCTAGCCTCTGCTCACAATGACTCTCACCGATCCGTTTCCTGAAACACATGCGTTGATCGCACTACTGCCAGAGACGAGCCACAGCCTAAAGATGCCTCTACTGTACCTGTCGACCCGCCAGACAGAGTGGCCCATCTACCAGTCTCTACATCGCAACATCTACCCAACATGCTTTCTCTTCGTCTTTCTTCTTCGCTACACCCGCGTTCTTGTTAGTCTATACGGCACCTATAGATACCGGCCTACACCTATACCGCTCAACCCCACATACCACATCAACGATGTCACAGTCATCATACCCACCACAGACCTCATGTCCGTAACACTGCATCACGTTGTCCGCTCCATACTCAACCAACGTGTACCAAAGCTCATCATCGCAACCGCCGGCACACAAGCCGCAGAACAGTTTCGCTCTTTCCGAGCTCTATTCCCAGAGAGCAAGGTCGTGGTGGCCCATCGCGTCAAGGCCTCACGCCGGGAACAAACAGCCCAAGCCCTCAAGCAAGTCGAAACGCGCCTCGTCATCCTGCAGGACGACCACACATACTGGCCCCAATCCCCGCGCTTCATCGCTTCCGTGATCGCACCTTTCGAAGACACCAAAGTCGGAGCTGTGAGCGCTGACCTGCAAGCTCGGCACCGCGGACACCCCTTCTCCTGGCCCGGATTCTGGAACTTCATGGGCATGACCTACCTGATGCGTCGTTCCTACGAGTACCGCGGCACCTACGGCATCGACCGCGGCCTGTCAACGCTACCAGGCCGTTTCGGCGTCTTCCGCACCGCAATCTACTCCTCACCTGAGTTCCTCAACGGATACCTAAACTCGTACATGCCCTTCAAGACCGAGCCCCTAAACTCTGATGACGACAAATTCCACACCCGCTGGCTGATTGAGCATGACTGGAAAATGGGTCTGCAGGCTGGTCCCGATAGCGTCATGACGACGGAACTGGGCGAGTGGCCCAACTTCATGAGTCAAGTACTCCGCTGGACGCGAACGACTTGGCGCAATAACCCCGCGCAGTTGATGGGTAGGCTGACGTGGATGCGTCATCCCTTCATGTCGTGGAGTCTGCTCATGTGGTTCTTCCGTCAATCGCTCACACAGGAAACGTGTATGTATATGACGCTTCGTGGGACGCTGAAGCAGTACGGAAAGGCTGATTACTTCCCTATCAGCGCATCTGCGCTCACCATCTGGATCTTGTCGTTCAAGTTTGTCAAGATTCTGGAACACTTTCGCAAACATCCTCGCGATGTTGTGTATTTCCCCGCGTATCTTTTGTTTGGTCATTTGCATGCGTTTGTTAAGATTTACGCGTTGCTGACTTGTATGAATGCTTCTTGGACGACGGCGGAGATAGTGAATGGGAATCTGGGAGCGGGAAAGACACCGCAGTCTGAGTCGAAGGCGCACTCTATTCATTCGGTAAAGACAGAGGACGGGGTAGCGGAAGACAAAAGCCAGGAATCGCCTTCGAAGCAGGTTGCTTTGGATGTACCTCCAGCTGCTCAAGATCGGCCCAAGCGGCCGGCCATGTTTGTGCGCAGGTCGCGCTATTACTCCCAAGCGCCAGGAGTAGGCGGATGGTTGGGTTGATTGCTGTCGATTGTGTGTAACTTTTCCACTGTCCTTCCGCGAGCGTAGCAAGTATAGCTAGCATACTACGAGCTAGATCAATAACTTTAAATCGGTACTGTTCATGACACTTGATTGCAGTGAAGAAGACTTCCTCGAGTTCCTACCAGACACCGCCCACCTATCCGAGAAGCAACATTGCAACACTGAACCACCGCTTTCAACACAAAAAAAAAACGATTAGCAATCGCATATGAGTTATATGACGAACGCGCAGCAAGATAAGTGCTCTTCCTCGAGTTCCACACTCGCGCTCAGGCTTGTGGGAATAGAATTGTCGGCTAAATCCATGCTCAGCCTCTTCGGCACAAGGGAATCGTGGGGTATGAGTCCTCCGCATGTCTGATACGAAGTGTATATAGTAGCCTCGATCGGAACACGCGGGATAATGTAGATCCCGCAAATCACCATACGACACTGATGAGATTTGCGTGAAATGCAGATTGAACGATACGATGAATAGCCTGTTTGTGCCCCACATGTTAACTGCAGTGTATACTTCATGAATATGCTCTCCGCAGTCTTCCTCATCCCATCATCATTGAACGCATCATGTATCTCGCATTGTCGCATCTTGCAGTCCTTGGGGCCATATCGCATGTCACTTCGGCAGTCTCTCTGGAAAGTCGCCAAGCGCAGCAGAAAGTCATCATCGACCCGACGAAGAGATACCAGACGATCGACGGCTTCGGTTTCTCAGGCGCATTCCAGCGCGCAAATCTCATCGTTAATCTGCAGCAACCCAAACAGCGCGAGGTTCTTGATCTACTCTTCAACACAACCACTGGCGCTGGCTTCTCAATCGTGCGCAACGGGATTGGCTCGACGCCCAATAGTAATAGCGATTTCATGAATACAATTCTTCCTAAATGCCCAAGCACACCAGCGGATGTCACTACGAACTACGGCGGGTATGTCTGGGATGCTAAGGATAGCGGACAATTGTTTCTCAGCCAGAGGGCTCAAGAGTATGGCGTCAACACCTTCTATGCGAATGCATGGAGTGCGCCTGGATGCATGAAGACAAACAATCAAGACAACAACGGTGGCCAGCTTTGCGGTGTGCGTGCATCCCCGAGGTTCTCTCATCGCGTTCGCTAACCTGTCACAGGTCTCCGGTACCAACTGTCGCTCCGGAGACTGGAAACAAGCCTACGCGAACTACCTCGTCGCATATATCAACTTCTACGCATCCGCCGGCGTCAAAGTCACACACCTTGGCT